AACACTACAGGGAGGCACAATTTAAATATCAGGCTGTTCAGCAGTATAATTACTATATGGTCTGCACATATTTTGTCACATGCCTCTTTAAATATTGAAAAAGGAACATCCCATGTTTTCTGAATGAATGTTAATTTACAATGCACAACTGTACAATAGTCACATGCTCTGAAACACTACTTACTGTGCATGACTCAGGGGCTTTCTTTACTCTTAAATACCTACCCACCTCATTCAATATGCTTTCCAGTGTCGGTGGGGTATCCACTTGAGGAATATTGAACTCTTTATCATCAATCTAAACAAAGGAGAGAAGGAGGAAACTGTTCAGGTTTCTAATCCCAAATAGATTTTCACAATCCTCTGTATAAGTTTCAGTTATACTCCACTCTCCATCCAAGATGCACAAGAGACTTCTCTTCTTTCAAGTGCTTTCTTTCAAATTATGCTCCCTAAGAAGTGTCAGGCTAAAAGCAAGAAGTTAGTGGTTTCAATGTCGCAAAAATGATGGAGGTTGTTCTGATGCCCTGCTAGATATAGTGATTCAGATGGTATTATTGCCTATGCAAAACTAAGAACAGGAAGATGAACAGGTCTCATGCTGCTAATGAAATTAAAATTAAAAACACAGTCTGGCAAGTCATTGTCACACTGGACTGATCCAAAACTGCACACTTGATGCATTTTATCTCCCTTAAGTATTAAAAAAAGAAAAAGAAAAAAAAAGCAGACCGCTAGTGTTATAGAATTAAAAAAAAAAAAACCCTTTAGGCAGAAGAAGAAAATTTAAGATGCTTCCATTTCAGACCACTGCTACCCACATAAGACTTTGCTATGTGCAGGTCTACTCTGGAAAGTGTCTACAGAAAAATGGCAGTATGCCATGAGCAGAGCTGCCTCATCATCAGACCTAAGTAATAGATGCAGATACAGGCCATACTGTATAAAAGGTGCTGATTTTTATTTGTAATCTAGACATTTATCAACCTTCTTTAGTGATTTTATGATAAGCCTTTCAGCTATTCTGTTGCTTGTCAGTTTTGGGGGGGACAGGGGACAATGAAGCTGAGCCCCCATAAAACTTAACAAATAGACAAAATAGACTAAAGTGAGACTTCTCTCTTCATAATCTTTTTAAGGAAATAAGTACTCCTGGGAGCAATAGTGAGTGCAAAATGTTTTAAGACAAATTTTATTTGAAGTTGGCCCATTTATCACATATGATTAGTTCTGTCTGCTTACCGAATTCAACAACCTTCAGTCAGCCAGTTCTTACCCCAGTGGCAATTGTGCCATTTCTCTTAAAATGTTTCCACCTTCAATCTGAAAATGACTAGTCCTCAGGAATTTAAAATCCCAGCGCAGGCTTTCAATGAGTAGGGTTGTATCTCTTCGTTGAAGAGGCGCTAGGAACCTTGCTGTTGTTTCTTGGTGAGGCCATACAAAACACTGTTTTCTATTAGCCAGCACTGCAAAGAACAGACACACTGAGGTCTTGAGAAGGCAGGCTGGGTTCTCTTCTGTTTGCATAGCCCTATTAGTAACAGACCCTGTGGGCCAAATGCTGCTTTTGGTTACCCCTGTGCAAAGCAGCTATGAACAGCAGCAGGATGTTGCAGGTATAGCCAAGGGCAGAATTTGGCCCTGCAGGGAAAGCATAGTTAACAAACCACACTAAACACCAGCTGTCTTTCCAAGAGATACAGATTTCTGTGAAAGATGCCACCAGCGCAGATTCTGAACTCACGCAGAGCGCAAAATCTGTTAGGAAGGCGCTGATTTTATAGCAAGCTCCTGACAGCACAAAGCAGTCAAGTCTTAGCGGATTTGAGGAGAATGAGACAGGTTTTGTTCTAAAAAGTGGTAGGGGGGGAGGTGAAGGAGCTGCCCCTGCTGTCTAGAGGGCCCATGCTACAAGACCATCTCCAGAGAGAAAGGGGCAGGGGCAGGCCTCTGACCAAGAACAGCTGAGCAGACGTGCCTCCAGTCCCCAAATCACGTTCCTTTTGGAGGCTTAAATAAGGAAGTGTCACAGCAGAGTGCCCTTGGTAACCTGCTCAACAACATGACTAATGAAGTTCCTGCTTCACACCCTGTTTCCTAGTGCATTGAGGCTGTTCCCTGGAAAGGGCTCTGAGGTACCAGTCCTTTAAAGCAGTGTTACGAATCAGAGCCGGTTACCACCGCAGAGCTAACGCAAGAGCACGGAATGGTATTTACCACAACCCAGTGAGAAAGCTGTGAAAAGGCATGGTTTGAAAACAGCCTCGTGACTTCAAAGAGCAACCCTTAAATGAAGCTGGCCACTCAGGAAATGAAAAGCATAATCAAACATAAAAGACAATCACTCATTTGACTTGAAACGTCTTCCCCTTCCCTCACATTTCATGAAGCTTCTCTTTTAAAAAAAAAAAAAAATCAAAAAAAAGAGATTTATTGATGGACAGCCCAGCTTGTCCCAGAGCTAGAAAATTCACATTTGAGTCTTACCAGCTCACTTTTGGCATCTAGTTCTCTTTCCACATCAACACTGCCCAACTTTGGGAGAAGTGTCTCCTGACCCAAGAGCTTCCCAAGGTCATCTTCCAGTCCTGTGGAAGACATGCTGTGTTCTGGATTGAGGTTTTCAGTCTCTGTCTTCAATTCATCTGCCATCTTTTCCATTTCCAGCAAAACCAGTGAGTAAGTCAAAGTGTGTTGGCTCCTTCTCTTAAGCTTCTACTCCAGGTGCTGGCAGCTAAAATCTGCATTCTTTTCAAAGAGAAGATACACATTGAAGAGAAAGCTTCAATAGCATGCAAGGCTGACAGACAGACACATGCACACACATGCATACACCCAACTGTATATTTCACACCACTTTCAGCCCATTCTGTAGCCAAAAGTGAACATCCATCAGGAGTTTTCTTCTACAGAAACAAGCCCCTCTTCTTCATTCTCAATGGGACTGCTGCATTCCCTAGAAATTAAAAGCTTCTGATAACTTCTCTGTGGACTTATGAAAATGCAAACCATTAAAAATAGCTCCAAGAGGGCTCCTGGCTCAGCCAAGGCCCCCATATCACAGTCACAGGATGGCTGGCAAACACACAGCCTGAGCAGAGTGAAACACCTTCCTCAGCCCTGTCATGTGCCTGGAAACATCTCCCTGCTACTTCCTACCCCAGCACTGGCGAAGCCAATGGGAAGGAGCCTGAAATCAAGGACTGGAGAAGGGCAAGGCCCCTCCACACACACAAGATGCATCTAGGAGGCCCATGCCAGCCATCCAAGGCCCCAGGGATGATGCCAGCTCCAGGCTTTCCCTTGTTTCTTTGGCTACAATGCACACACACACACACGTGCACCCAGTGCAAGGAACTCCTGACTCACAGAGAGCAAGAACGTTCTCTCAGGGTTAGGGTGGCAGAACAGAAGCAGCTATGGAAGGCAGAGAGATTCATGGATGAGACTTTCAGGGACTTTGTAGAGCAGTTCCACCTCCACTGTAGCACCTCCCATGCTGCTGAGAAGAATGAGAGCCTCAGGGATGAAGGACATCAAGCTGGGAACAAGCAAAACTATCCTTTAGATGAGACCCGCCTTTCAGCTAATGTTACAGCACCTTCCTGCATCAAGCACACTCCTCCAAGGGTGGGAACCCCACAGGAGAGGAGCAGGCAGGTGGTGGTAATAGGAGATTCGATTATTAGGTACATAGATAGCTGGGTTTGTGACAACCAAGCAGACCACAGGGCAACTTGACTGCTGGGTGCAAAGGCAGTAGACCTCACGAGACATGTAAATAGGCTGCCAGGGAGGGCTGGGAGGAGCTGGTGGTCATGGTCCATGTGGGGACCAGTGATGTGGGTAAGACAGCAGGGAGGTCCTCAAAGCTAAAAATTTAGGCTGCTAGGTAAAAGGTTGAAGTCCAAGACCTCTATGGCAATGTTCTCAGAAATGCTTCCTGTGCCATGCACAGAGTCAGGTAGACAGGCAGAGCTCCAGAGTCTCCACATATGGCTGAAATGTTGGCGTAAGGAGGAAGGGTTTACGTTTATTAGGAACTGGGGGAGCCCACACAGAAGGGACGGTCTCCACCCAAGTCAAAATGGTACCAGAAGAATGGCAGGTAATATTTAAACAGTGGCAGAGCAGTTTTTAAACTAAAAACAGAGGGAGGGAAAAAGCCGACATGCGTGGAACAGCACAGTTCAGCTCGGCACAACCTATGGGGTGAAACTATAAGAAAAAAATGGGATAAGAAACAGGGTGAAGATAAGTGCAAGCAAATACCTTTAATGAGTAAAAGGTCACATGGAACTAACGAACCAGGCAACAATAAGAAGTACACCTGCTTTTATACTAATGCTATAAGTCTAAGATCAAAGGTGGGGGACCTTGAATGCTTAGCTATAAATAATGATATTGACATAATAAGTCTGTCTAAAACATGGTGGAATGAGGAAAATGAATGGGATGTTGTAATACCAGGACACAAATGATCCAGGAATGATAGAGCAGGTTGTACTGGTGGGGGAGTGGCACTCTATATCAGACTGCATCAAATCAAATAGGTCAGATTTTTCAACTCTTACGACAGGTGCTATAGGATCCTTGTGGCTAGAAATCCCAGGTTATAAACAGAAAAAATACACCTATAGAATCACAAAAAATGAGGGCTGGAAGGGACCTCAGGAGATCACATCTAGTCCAATCCCTGCTCAAAGCAGGACCAGCCCCAACTGGATCATCCCAGCCAAGAGCTTTGTCTAGCTAGATCTTAAAAACCTTAAAGGATGGAGATTCCACAGCCTCTCAGTAACGTCTTCTAGTGCTTCACCATCCTCCTAATGAGAACATTCTTTCTAATATCCAACCCAAACTTCCCTTGCTGCAACTTGAGCCCATTGCTCCTTGTTCTGTCATCTGCCACCACTGAAAACAGTCCCGCTCCTTTCAGGTAGTTGAAGGCTGCTATTAAATCTGCACCCCACACCCCTCAGTCTTATTTCCTCTCAACTAAATAAGCCCAGCTCCTTCAATATACCATCGACCCCCAGACCAGGGTAGCAGCAGTGAGCTAGAAATGTTAAGGGAGTTGAGAGAGCCTGCCACAGCAGAAAACACAGTAATAATGGGGGACTTCAAGTATCCCACAAATAGACTAGGTCAATCAGACATCAGGTCAGGATGTAGAGACCAAATCTCTTGACATTATAAGAGAGATTCCTGGAGCAGCTAGTCCTGGAACCTACCAGAGAAACACCTTTAGTGCAAAGGGTTTGTGTTACTAAACCACTGGGCAATAGTGACCACAATGCAACTAGATTTGACATCCATGTAGCAGGGGAGACAAGAAAAATCTACCACTGTACCCTTTAATTTTAAAAGGGGAAACTACACCAAAATGAGGAAGTTAGTTCGATGGAAGTTAAAAGGGGCCTGCAAAGAAGTGAAAGAATTGCAGGAGGCACAAAGCAAATGAGTACCAAAAATAAAAAATTGGAAAGCACACCAAAAGCAAACCAGCATGGTTTCATGGCAGAGTTGCAGAGGCAATAAGCAAAAAAAAAAA